ATTGAGACGATCCTCCAGCTGTTTGTATTTGTCGTCCGCGGGAGGATATTGTTCTTCAGTGTAATAAGCCTCTTCTTCATTAGACCCCAGACTGTGGTCCCCTTCTTTTGTCTTCTCCTCCTGATTGTTCCCCTCAGTTGACGGACTTGCGAATTCTAGAGCTCGCTTTACTGGTCCTCTAAGTCTCCTTCCCATGTTGAGGATACCCACTATTTTCTTTGTCTTTTTATTCTTGTCTTTGAGAAGGAGAGTCTTCAGGTCCTCTTGCCCTTTAGCCAAATATAGGAACATCGGTTGGAATTGAGCATTTTGTGCTTGAAGATCCTTCACTGTTTACTCTAGATCCATCTCTACTAAAATAAACAGTAAGCAGATGAGAAAACATGTATGGGGAAAACCTGTTATGACATGCATGATATATGGATGAAATGTTTTCAAGGATCTCGCGGGGTAAACACAAGAAGATGTTAGAAGTTGAACTTTGATCATATCTTTGATTGGAGAACTTCGTATCGGTGGATGTCCTTCCCCAGTAACGGAATCCTCTACAAATGTAACTGTGATACGGTGGGAGAACTGACTTGAGGTTTTGTGTTTGTGTTCCCAATTGTTCGGTTTAGCAAGAGTCACCACCGACTTTTTATTTTATCCAAAGGAAAGGTCAAAAAGCACAGGAAAGACCTTTGAGATGTTTTCTCGGGTTCGGGGGGTAGATTATGAAAAGGGAAGGTGCAAGCACCCTTTTCATCCATGGTTTTCCATGGGCTCTTAGTTACTTGTTTAGATCACTTGCTTTTGCTTTTTAATTGTTTGAAATGGTGCTTTGTGTGTGTGGTTTTTGAAAATGATTTTGAAAAAGAGGCCTTGCCTAGGCAACCTTTGTAATGATTCTTGTTTGAATATATACAAAGGTGTTTGTCTTTTGAAAAGATATTTCAATGTTTGAAAGTTTGTTTTGGGGAATTGTGTTGTGAAGTGTGTTTGAAAATAGCAAGGATGTTTTGCAAGTTTTGATCAAGTAACTAAAAGTTGTCTACCCTATTTTACTCAAAGATCTTTCCTATGTTTTTAACCCTTTTGACAGTGTTGTTTTACCATTGCATTTGGTAAACAACCTTGTATTAGGATGTTAAACAGGACAGGCGCGGGTCATCGCATATAATCATTGAAAGCAACTTGTGAGACGCTCTAGAAATTTTGTAAGGGACGAGATCGTTTTATCGAAGGCAACATCGAGGGTCATCGAGGGACTACGATCTTTGTTTATCGAAGGGTCATTTGCTAGAGTGTCTCATATTCGAGGGACATGATTGCATTTCCGAGGCAACAAGCGAGGTTACCCTAGAGGTGCAAGTGTGCATTGTGTTTGTCATTTTCATGCATTTAGATCTTGTATTGGGTCATCTAGCGATTGATTTTGTATTTTCGCATACAAACCCTAATCTCTAATCATGGCATATTTGAAAGCATAAAGTGCGAGAATTAAAAGTCTAAGCTATTACAAAAGTATCCGGGGATAGGGGTACAAATTATTACAAATGGGGATGAATCTCACAAGGATAACAATGTCCAAATATCAAGTGTTACAACCAAATCGAATTGTCGCAATTCAATGTAAAAGCCATAACAAATTAAGAAATCAATAATATTATGAGATGCATGTATTTATTTGAAAATAAAATCTATTCTAACAAAGAAATATTAAATATTATGATTACTTTTCCTCTTGTATTTTATTAATAAAAAAAAAAGTTTAAAGAAAACAAAATTAACTAAATCAATTTAAATGCTTTTTTTTGGTATTTTCAATATGTGAAATAAGATTAATTAAGAAAATAAAACTAATAAAAAAAAGTTTCAAATATTATTAATGTTATTATTAATAAAAGAAAAGAAAACAAATTAATTTTTAAATGAATTAATTAAAAAAACAAGTATTTGTTTAAACCAAGGAAAAGAAAAGAAAACAAGAAGGATGGGCTTAAGGCTTGAAAGGGGGTGGCCCAAAATAAGAATATGAGAGAAGAGAAACAAAAGTCAGAATGGAGGTGTGAGGGGGGTACGTTAGTAATGATTATGGGCTTATGTGTTTGGACAGGCCTAAAGGAAAGTTTTGTACAATTTGTTAGGGTTCTCTGATTAGGGTTTGTGAACCCCTTTATAGCGGCGCCATTTTCGTTTTCTCCTCCTCATCTTTCTCAATCTCACGCGTTCTGATCTCTTCTTACCTAGGCCGCCGGAACACTGTCTCCTCCTCTCATCTCCTCACCAAGATCAAAGGTTTCGGAGAAACGGTATGGTTTGTCATCTTGGAGTTTTACAGTTTCGTTGTTTTAAACTTGCTTTGCATGTTTGTTTTGCATGTTCATGTTTTTAATCTATGGTGTTTTATGTGCCTAAAACACAGTAAGGGTTTGAGAAGAACGTACCTTTGGGATTTTTGGGACAAATGGAGAGGAAAGGTAAGATGGAGTTAGAGGCGGCGTTCCTGGTAGCTTAGAGGCGGAGGGAAGATGATGACGTCCAAGCACGCTTCTGGTATCTCTCCTTTGTTCTTTAAAACTTGAATGTTGATGATGATTCTGATTCTGAGACTTGTTTCTATGTCTTGAAACTTTTGATTTTTTTCGATGATGATTTGATAATCTGAGACTCCTTTGTTGCTTCTTGTTGAAACTTGGTTTATTGGTTTGGATTTGTTTATGATGGTGATTCTGAAACTTTGCTCTTTGTAAGCTTGGATTTGTTGATCTCTGAAGCTTTTGGTTGATGTCAGTTGATGAAACTTTGTTTGTTGCTTCTTGTTGAAACTTGAAGTTTTGTGATTTTGTAGTTTGGTGGTTGATGTTGTACAGTTTTGGTAGTGTTGAGGGTTTACAGTTTGGCTATGTTTGGTTTAGTTTGGCAAGTTATGCAGGTTGTGCTATTTTTGAAACTTGCAGTTTGGTAACAAGTTTGATAACATGTTGTGTTGTTTTTAGGCCTTGGTGGTTGTTGTTTTGAGTTTGAAACTTGCAGGTTTTTGTGGTTGTTTGGCTATGCAGGTTATGGAAGTTTTGTTGGGCAGTTTGCAGTTTGTTTGTTTGGTTGTTTCTTGCTAGTAGGTTTTTTGTGTTTGCTGCAGTTTGGCAAGGCTTGATGCAGCTTAGCTAGGTTTGGAGATTTGCTACAGTTTGTTGCAGTTTTGTGGGTTTGACAAACTTGTTACAGTTTGGTTAGCTTGCAGTTTGGCTAGGTTTTGGCTATGCAGGTTGTGCTGTTTGAAAGCTTTGCAGTTTTGTTGTTGTTGCTAGCTTGTGTAGTTTGGCAAGCTTGCAGTTTGGCAAGTTATGCAGGTTGTGCTGTTTGAAAGCTTTGCAGCTTGTTATGTTTTGTTCTGTTTTGAGAACTGCAGTGTGATCGGTGGAAATAGAACTGACTGTTTTGAAATGCTGGTTCGTGAAATGTCGCGGTAAGCAAGAGTCGCCACCGTCTTTTATTTTCTCCAATAAGGAAAGAACAAAAGCACATCAAAATTCCTTTTCGAGATGTTTCTTGGTTCGGGAGGTAGATTATAGAAAGGGAAGGTGTTAGCACCCTTTCTATCCGTGGTTATCCACGGGCTCTTAGGTACTTGCTCACTATGTTTTCAAAAATGTTTTGCTTTTCTTGTGTTTGTGGGTTTTGAAAAAGTTTGTTTGAAAACTTTGTTTTAACTCTTGTATCAGTCCTCAAGAGTGTATGAAGTGTTGTTTGAAAACTTTTGTCAGAAAAGTGTAGGTGCGAAAAGTATTTTTTTGTTTTTGAAAGAGCAAGTACCTTAGAACCTCTACCTACTCAAAAGAAATTAAGCTGTGTAAATGTCCTTTAGACAGTACTATCCCACTATTGAGAAGTAGGTAGCACCGTCGTTGGAGTTTCGGGTCAATTCGATTATAGGGACATGTGGTCACTAAAGCAATAGTAGGACGCCTTAGCGGTAACCCTAATGTCCTAGATCCTTTTTATCCGAGGAAACCGTTTCGAGGCAACTTGGATCTTTAGACAAGAGGGCGACCTCTAAAACACCCTATACTCAATGACCACGTCGAGGCAACACTACAACATTTGTTGTCTCTGGCAACACTTTTTTAGGTAACATGTAGAAATTGTTGCCTTAAATTCATATAGGCAACGATTTACGATTGTTGTAAAAAATATGTTTGTAACCCTTGATAATCGTCGCCTAAAATACTTTTGGGGACGTTTATGGAGCGATACTCTTTTATTTTTTTGCCAACGGTTGTTAATTGTGCCCTTAACTGCTTTTGGGGACGATTTTAGAGCGTTAAAATATTATTTCTTTAGCAATGTTTGACAATTGTCCCCTAAAATATTTTTGGGGACATTTTTAGATTGTTACATTAGTTCTAATAAAAGGCTACATTTCTAAAATGTTGTATAAATTTTTTTAGAATTATCAAATTTTTGGTGGCAATCTTCCCTCCAAAACTTATACACTAAAAAACAAATATTTTTCTCTAAACATTATTAATATATATAAAAAAAATATTTTTCTAACACAGAAATTTAAAAATAAAAAATTTCAATTAAACAGAAAATAAAAAATTTTCTAACACAGGAATTTAAAATATTTTTCATTACTAGTCCTCTCAATTATTGCCACGTCTTATTAAAAAGAATAGAAAATAAAAAAAAGAAAAAGAAACAGATAAGGAAAACAAAAGCAGCAGCTTTCGATTCTCCTTCTTTTTCGTTCACACATTTCGCCGAACCTAGCCGCGCTCTCAGACGCTCCGTCCTTCATCCGCTTTGAGTCAAACCTCTTTCGTTCACACCCTCCGCCGTGTTCTTCGTCACTCCATCCAACTGCCACACCGTGTTCGTCGTCCACGTCGTCGTCCGCCGTCCAACTGCTTTCGTCCACGTCGTCCGCCGTCCACGTCGTCCGCCGTCCACGTCGTCCGCCGTCCACGTCGTCCAAGTCAATTTACTCAAACTTGTTTCCTTTAGTCAAATCAATGGCTTATGGTCTTCACAAAATGGGTGTTTCACAGGGTGATGTTGTTTTGCTTTTACTTCCCAACTCAATTTACTATCCCTTTATACAATTAGGTGTTATGTATCTAGGTGCTGTTGTTACACCATTGAATCCTGTCAGTAGTGTTGCTGAAATTCGTAAGCAGGTTAATAAGTGTGGTGTGAGTATTGCTTTTACTATACCCGAAAATTTTAAGAAACTAGAGCCATTCAACATTCCAAATATTATTGTGCCAGAAAATGAAAAGGATTTGAAGTATGATTGTTTCTCTTGTTTCTTTAACCTTATTTATAGTAACTTTGATTTTCCTCAAAGGCCAGTTATTAAACAAGAAGACACTGTTGGTATATTGTATTCTTCTGGTACTACAGGTGTTAGCAAAGGAGTTGTTTTAACGCATAGAAATTTAATTGCTATGGTTGAACTATTTGCGAGGTTTCAAGCTTCTTCTTCTTCTTCCAAAAATGTGTTTCTAGCTGCTTTGCCAATGTTTCATATATTTGGTTTATCGCTCACTACTACCGGATTACTGTCGTTGGGTTCTACGGTTGTTGTAATGAAAAAATTTCAAATTGACGAGGCTATTAGGGTGATTGATGAATACAATGTTACACACTTTGATGTTGTTCCACCCATGTTAGTGACATTGACAGAAAAGGCGAAGCGGGTTAATGGAAGTAAGTTGCTGAGTTTGAGACGTGTTTTATGCGGCGCCGCGCCTTTAACCACAACAATTATAAATGAATTTGTCCAAGTTTTCCCTAATATTGATTTAATACAGGTAAAGTACATCAGAATAAACTAGTCTTATTCTCTTTATTGTAAGGATGTGCAACCTTAAAATTGTTTCCTTTTAGGCTTATGGAATGACTGAGTCTGCTGCAGTAGGAAGTTGCTGCTTCGATAGTGACAAGTTTCACAACTATTCTTCAGTAGGATTGTTAGCTCCAAACATGGAGGCAAAAGTGGTAGACGTGAACAATGGTGCACTTTTTCCCCCAGGAAGAAGTGGCGGGCTTTGGTTGCGAGGGCCTTCGATTACGAAAGGTGATAAATCTTCATTTTTTTTGTAAATATATACAAACAAAGATATTAAAAAGGACATCATGCTAATATAAATGCTTTGTCTATAGAAATCAATCCTAACCTATATTTGCATGAGATGGATTCAATGTCTTCAGCTGTTTTGTTGCTAAAATTGTACCTTTTCTGCATGTCTTGTTTGTATTCCAATTGAAACTAGTAACCATACTTTATTTCTTTTATTTCTTAGGATATTTAAATAACGAAGAAGCTACGATGACATCAATTGATAAAGATGGTTGGCTTAATACCGGAGATATTGTTTATTTTGATGAGAATGGATATTTGTATTTATGTGATCGTTTGAAAGACATGATCAAATACAAGGGCTTTCAGGTATCAAAATTTTTGGTTTATTAAAATTTTATATTACAGTTTATTGTTTCTCAACTTGTATTGTATTGTATGCATGTTGTTGTGTATGACACACACATGTTTCTGTTACATATTGCTCCTGCTGATTTAGAAGCTGTGTTAATTTTGCATCCTGAAATAGTTGATATCGCCGTTACAGGGTAAGTATATATATATATATATATATATATGAACACTTCATATATTTTGTTTAAAGTGCGTCTTTAACGTGTAGTATCCAGGGTATTGTCAGCTACGAATGAGGAAGGTTGAGTTAAAGGGGAGAACTCCATCAAACATGTCACATATGAGGAAGATGCTATTGATGCTGACGACAATGATGAGAGACTTACTAAATCATCTAATGCTTCTGATAAAGCATTTGAGGTCTTAGTAAGTGACATATTTACCTCGTGTTTTGCTTGTGATTTGTAGTACTTTGTTCATTAAGGGTACAAAAGTTTTCTCAGGTTTCTGATCATGCTAGGAAAGTTATGCATGTTTATTTATACGAGTGGGTTGTGCATCATTTATCAAATACAATATTTAGTATACTTTCTTTGATTGGTTTTCCTATTATGAGTTTAAAATCTGGCAGTGTAAATAAATACAACACATGCATGCTTCAATCTTTCCTTCCATCTCCTTCTTTGTTTTGACTTTGACAAATATGTATTTTATATTGTCTCAAGTTAGAATTTGAGTTTGAAACAATAAAAAAGAATAGAAGTTATATCTAGCTATCAATTAATAAATTTTATATTTTCTTTTATTGGAACTCTATCTATGGTCACGGTTTTAGGACCGTACATGTATTAACTTCAATCATTTCCTTCCATATCTGGCTAGCTCCGTTAATTTGAAAAAAAAAACAAATGAGTGTTGCAATCAACACTCATTTTTTTCCATATATGTCTGAAAATTACATTAATGCAATGAAGAAAAACCAACCATAGTGCTTACTGAAATTTTTTTCTTTAAATTTGGTGTATCTTCTTTCAGCTTACTATGCAAGGGAAACAACATATTGAATCTTCTAGCAAAGTAAACAATATCAAGCATCATGACGAAACACCGCCTGATGTTCAAGTACGGAAACTAAAGGATCAGCTCATCCAAGCTAAAGTTTATCTTTCCCTTCAGGCAGTTAGGAACATTCCCCATCTCACTCGGGAACTTCGGCTACGGGTAAAGGAAGTTTCACGAACAATTGGAGAGGCAAGCAAAGATTCTGACTTGCCAAGGAAGTAAGTGAGTTTTTAAGAATGTATTTTTTGTACTTGTCACCAGGTTTTCCTATTTTTATATAGCTATTACGTTAGTTATTTCATATTTAGCTTTATTGGGAAGTAGCATACAAATATGTTGAATAGTTCAGGTCTTCATGATCTACATTTTATTGAGTTTGAACTTATATTTGTAATTCTACTAATGCAGTGCAAATGAGAGAATGGAGGCAATAGAGCAATCATTGATGAAAGTAAGGCAAATTCAAGATGATTGTGCCACATCCGTGAAGAAGCTTAGGGCTATGCTCCACTCATCAGAGGACCAGCTTCGCGTGCACAAGAAACAGACCTTATTCTTAACATAGTTGACAGCTAAAACACTGCCTAAAGGTCTCCATTGTCTTTCGTTGCGCCTTACAACTGAATACTATAACTTGAACTCTTCTCAGCAACAACTCCCCAATCAAGAGAAGTTAGAAGACCCTGGACTATACCATTATGCAATATTCTCAGATAACATATTGGCCACAACTGTTGTTGTGAATTCTACTGCTGCCCATGCTAAGGTAAGTTATTTTCACGTGGAGATTTCCTGAGTTGTTTTTATTCGCCAAGATTATGAAACTGAACACCAAATAAAATAATCTGTTATAGTATCTCTCTGCAGTTAAATTACTATTCTCTCAATGTTTTAACAAACTAATATGTTTTCATTTTATTTGTGCCTAGAGGTAGTGATGGATAAAAAATGAAAACAAAACCTTATCTGTTACAATATAATGGTGGTATTTTTCTTTCTGATCAGCATAATAATAATGTAGCTTTAATAAATTTTCAGGATTCCTCCAAACATGTTTTCCACATTGTAACTGATAGGCTCAATTATGCGGCAATGAGGATGTGGTTTTTGGCCAATCCACCTGGAAAGGCGGCAGTTCAAGTTCAAAACATTGAAGATTTTGCATGGTTGAACTCGAGTTACAGTCCAGTTCTTAAGCAGCTAAGTTCTCCTTCAATGATAGATTATTACTTTAAGGCTCACCGTGCTTCTTCTGATTCGAACCTCAAGTTTCGGAATCCTAAGTATTTATCTATGTTGAACCATCTTCGCTTCTACTTGCCCGAAATATTTCCAAACCTCAAGAAAGTGCTGTTTTTGGATGATGATGTAATTGTGCAGAAGGATCTTACTGGTCTTTGGTCAATTAACTTGAATGGAAATGTAAATGGTGTTGTCGAAACTTGTACAGAAATTTTTCATCGGTTTGATCGTTACCTCAACTTCTCAAATCCTCTTATTGCAAAGAATTTCGACCCCCGTGCTTGTGGATGGGCATATGGTATGAATGTTTTTGATCTGGTCAAATGGAAGAAACAAAACATCACAGAGGTGTACCATAACTGGCAGAAGCTGGTAAGCACACTTCAGTTTACTTTTCAATAACATCACAAAATTGAATGAAATGCATATACTGTAAACTTGTCTCATTTCTTTCCAAGCTAAACAGGGTGCCAAAATGCCCATCAATGTTGATTGATGATTATGTAGATCTTCACAAGTCAAAGGAAATGGATGCAACCAAGTCAAACAATGGTGAAAAATCGGGCAGCAGCGTTAACCGTAAAGGATATAAGACCGCAAATGCATTCATCTACATCAACTCATGCTCCATGTCATGGAAAGGTAACCATATATACCAATATTATTGATTTATATTTTTCTAATTATGTTATAGTATCAAAATGGTTGTTAATGTATGCAAAAATTTGCAAGTAGTGACAACACCTAGAATAAAGTAAGTGGTTGAAATTATTTAAGTAGTGACAACACCTAGAAGTGGCTGAAACTGTTTTATTTGTGCGAGATTTCATTGATATTTCACAAACATACTTGCCTGGGATAAGATTATGGGACCCCCTTGTTTGATAACACTCACTATGTATGCTGTAAATTTATCCATATGATACTGAACACCAAAGAAGATACAACAAGTAAGAGTGTTCATCAGAGTTCATTTACTCCAAAAAATAAACATAAAAGGATAGCACAAGTTATACATACATACATACATACATACATACAGTTAAAGGCTATTGTAAGTCCTGAATAGTGAGCCAAAAACAGAATGGTTTCCATAATTGATTTATTTGCTAGTAAGCTCATGTCACCTATTACAGTTTAGAACGAAAATTCACATCCATTAAAAACCTTCATAATTAATTCACATCCATGAGATGTGAAGAATATAAACAATGTGTTTTGCTCATTGGTTTAGTTTTTATTTGTGCGAGGTTTAATTCTTGTTGATGTCTTAATTGTCCTTTGGACCAAAAATACTTATGGTTAATGTGTTTTATTTTATTTTCTTATGCAGCAATGTATCAATGAAGATGTTGAAAAGGACGATATAAATGATGAAATTCAAGAGGACGACATAAATGATAAAATTCAAGAGGACGGCCTAAATGATAAAATTCAAGAGGATGACGTAGATGACGAATTTCAAGAGGACGACATAGATCTAGATGATGAATTTCAAGAGGAGGATATTGATGGTGAATTTCAAGAGGACGACGTAGATGAAGAATTTATGGAGGATGACATATCTAACGAATTTCAAGAGGACGATCTGGATGCTTTACTCCTAGAAGACAAACTTGAATGAGTTGGATGATGTCTTTTTTTTGGCTTGTAGTTGAAAGCATTAAACTTGAAATATGATTTTTGTTCTTTTGCTGAACTATGTTTTTAGTTATTTTACTAGGGTCATACTTCAAAGTATTAAAAGTAATATTGTTACGTTAGGCATTTTGTGTACTCTATATACTATATCTTGAATTAAAGTTTGAACTCGATTTTATTATATTACAACTTTTATGGATGTATGGTTTAAGTTATATAATCAATATTATTTTTGAAGCCAATTATTATTGACTATATTATTTTGATAATAATTGGAAAATTGTATATTTTATGTGGACACTATAAAACAACAACCTATAAGCTATGGCTACACTTCAAAAACGATCTTCCTGATTCAGGTTTAAGGCAACGATTGTTAATTGTAGCCAAATTTGGCAACGCAACGCTTAAAAAACATTGTCTCAGAGGCCGTAAATAATCGTCCCCTATTCCTTTACTATAGGCGACGTTTTTCAAAAGCGTTCCCAAAAAACATAAAAAAATGTCGCCTCAAACAATAGGCAATGCTCGCACAGGGGACGCCTAGAAAACGTCCCCTATTGTTTTAGGCAACGATTTTCAGAGTTCTGGCAACGTTTTTCAATTGTTGCTGGAGAGCCTAAATGTTGTAGTGCAACCAAGTGAGGCGTACCCTAGGAGTGGCATGTGCGAGTGTGTCAGGTTTCAGTTTATATTTATCTTTGCACATATTATGGTGAGCTACGGATTGATTTTATTTTCAGAGAAATCTTGTCATGCATAGCCTATTTAACATACATCTAGCATTTAATAGTTGCGGAAAGTAAATTGCAGAAAGTAAATCTACGCTATTACAAGGCGTCGGGTATTTACATCGCCAAAAACAACCCTTGAAAAGTAAATTGCGGAAAATTAAAGAAAGCGATAAAAAGTCCTAATTAAAGCTATTACATCCTCGGAGCAATTACATAATAATGATCAAAAAATAATATGTGCGAATAAAAATTGAATCGGAGAAGTCTTTAGGGTTTTGACCCTTTTTGAGAAAGAATGAGTTTTGGTTATTTTGCAATTAGTTAAATTAAACCTAAAACTAATTAATTAATTAAAAGAAATATTTTTGAGTTTTTTAATAAATTAAAAGTTGGTAAAAAACCCTAATTCTACATGGATTTTATTTATTATGAAAATAATTAAAGTTAACCTAATTAAAAAGACTAAATTAATTAATTATATTTACTTACAAAAATAATAAATTAAAGGGTGAAATTAATAAATAATAATATTATATTTTAGTTTTTCTGAATTTATTATGAAAATAATTAATTATGTTAATTAAATAATAATAATAATAATAATTACTAAAAGAAAATAAAAAGAAGAGAATGAATGAACCAGGGGGGTGCTGGCCCAATAAGGAGGTATTTTTGGCAATCTGAAGCCCATTAACCTCAATCCTGCTTTGACTTTCTGGATTAGCTGTGTGTTCGTTGACTGAGCGCATGGTAGTCATCCAGCTTATGACCTTCAGATTTGTGCCTGTGGCCACTTGGCGCCTGGGACTTGAAAGTGCATGGTGGACACCTTTTTGAAACCTGCATAAGAACATGTTAAGAAAAATAATATCAAGTATTTTGGGGGAACTGGGATTCGAACCCAGGTCCCAATGACTAATACTCCAATGCCTTGGCCATCTGAGCTGGAACGCGCTTCTGTTAAATATATAGACAATGAATATTATATACAAAAAACATAATATTATGTTAGAAAACACAAAACACGCGCGCCTTTTTTGAACAGACCAATGATGTATCAACACATCATCATCTTCTCGCTGAACCTGTAAAAACAATGTTAGATAGCGGGGGTTTTTAACCCCCACTAAACAGTGTGACGAAAAATAGCGATTAGGGCTGTGTTTTATATAAATATTTCGCGATGGTCCTTTTGTTTTCGTCTTGTCCTAACGAGTTCAATCATGGGTCTCACAAGGCCTAATTTTTCTTGTATTGCAAAGCCCCAATTTGAAAGCTTATGAACCCTAGAATTCATCCATGGTAACTTGTGATTCTGTACACTATAATTCAATTAACTTATGCCATTAGCTTCATATGGATTCAAGCAATGCAGAACAAACAATAAATCATGTTAAATGCTTATGAATCACGAGTTACGATTATGAAAAAAAGTGGCAAACCGTCAAACTGTTTAGAGTGATTCTTGTAGCTTTAAAGCCTGGTTTTGATTGCAAAACGTCCCTGAGAACTCCTGCAAGGTATTAGAATCAACAAAAGCCTTTGAATCGTGCTAGAATGCAAAAGTCAGTTTGCAATTTTCTTGGAAAATTTTCAATATGCTATGGTCTGTTTTAGCAGCTTTTGCACGTGTGCATGATCAGGGTTTGCTTGTGTATTTATAGAGGAATGGAATTAGGTCAGAATCTTGCACAAAAATCCATTGGAATGATGATAGAATATTTGATTGGAAATCACATATTTTTGAATCTTCATGATTGGAAAAAGTTGCCAAATTTGGAGATATTGCATCTTTGATTTGGTGCACGAAATTGCCAGCCTTTTTAGGTCATACTTGCTTCACAAAAAGATTGAAAAATCAAATCTTTGTATTTTCCTACAATTTAAATTAATTAAATGAATTAATATTGATAAAAAATCCAATTAATTAATAAAAATAAGAAAATAAATTCAATTAAGCTTGATGGGTCGTGAATAGGCCATGGATGAAGTTTCAAGAAGAGATTTGAGGCCCATTAGCAAAAACAAGGTGTTTTGAGCAAAGTTGACTTTTGCAAATTCACAAATATTTCCCAACTTCTCCAATGCATATCTTGCTCAATTTTGATCATATGAACATGTTCTTGGACATTTTGGAAAGGTCTTGAAGTCCTCTAACCAATGCCTTTGGTACCATGTCATTTGGATTTACCAATCTCAAGTTATGGTCTTTGACTTTAAAGTGCATTTTTGTTGACTTTTGAATTTGACCTATAATGTAGAAATTGATAACTTCTTATGAGAGCATTTCTTGGACTTGGAATGTGAAGATGGATTGTAGGAAATGTCATCCCCTTCAAAATGAGAATTGTATGGGATTTTTCTGAAGAACCATGAAAAAGTTATGCCCTGGTCAAGATACAGTTGACTCTTCTACTGTCCAAAAATAATAACTTTTGCATCTTGATGATTTTTGAGCCATTCTTGTGGAATCATGATCAAGACTTGATCAAATGATGATTGTGTACTCAAAATAAGATGTTGACCAAAAATTCTGACTTTTGACTGCAAAATGACCATTTTGCCCCTGCAGTTGACTGTAGGTCAAATGGAGCTTTTGACTGTGCAAATTGGCACTGTGAGTCTTGAAACTTGGCATGTAGGTGCTTGAGAATGTATATGGGCCTATGAGACTTGATTGAACCATTGAAAACCTCAAATTCCTTGAGAGAATCAAAACCCTAATTTTGGCTGTCTTAGAAGGTGATTTGACTGTACAATCTCTTGAGCAATCTTGAACCATTTGAAGATGATTCTTGACAAACCTTGAAGAATATGGGAGGGAAAATTTTGGGGTACAACAGTTGCCCCTGTTCAATCTTCTTAAACCTGAGGATGTAGATTGGCTTTCGGGCCTTTCGTGATCCGAAGGTGGAAGATGATTGAATACTAGAGTGCCCAGAAATTTGCACTCGTATGGTGTAATATCAGCATGGTGATGTCGGGAATGGGCTTACAGATGCCATTTGGAAATATGATGGATAGGAGGATGGGCTTATAGATGCCACCTGGAGATTGTTGGTTGAATTGTAACTATAAGCTGGAACTGGGTGATTGTCAGAATTGCGTCCGCACCTGGAGCGTATCTGAAACGTATTTGAAGGAGTGATAGAATGACATCCGAATCTGGATCGTATCTGGACTTTATTTGGAAGAGTGACAGAATGACATCCGAATCTGGATCGTATCTGGACTTTATTTGAAATTGAGATCTGTATGAGTAGCAGAACGACTTCCGTGTCAGGAACGTATCTGTGTTGTAACTGGGATCTGGATAAGTGACAGAATGACTTTCGTGTTTGGAGTATATCTGCACTTGAAGTTGATAATTGAATCTGAATGAGAAATAGAATGGCTTCCGTGTCTGGAGCGTGTCTAGTCTGTATCTGATTGCTGACGTCTGAATGAGTAGTAGAATGACCGCCGTGTCTGGGGTATATCCATACTGTATTTGAATGAGTGACAGAATGACATCCGAATCTGGATCGTATCTGGACTGTCTCCTTAATGAATCTGGAATAAGTATCAGAATGTCGCCATATTTGGGTCACATTTGAACTGTCTCTGGAAGGAATCTGGAATAAGCAATAGAATAGCATCCGGGTCTGGAGCATCTCTAAGTTGTCTTTAGAAGTTTGAATCTGAATAAGCAATAGAATAGCATCCGGGTCTGGAGCATCTCTAAGCTGTCTCTGAAAGCTTGAATCTGAATAAGTAATAGAATAGCATCCGGGTCTGGAGCATCTCTAAGCTGTCTCTGAAAGCTTGAATCTGGAATAAGTATCGGAATGTCGCCAAATCTGGGTCACATCTGAACTATCTCTAGAAGGAGTCTGGAATAAGTATCAGAATGTTGCCATGCCTGGGTCGCATCTGAACTATCTCTAGAAGGAGTCTGGAATAAGCAATAGAATAGCATCTGTGGTTGGAGCATCTCTAAGTTGTCTCTGAAAGGAAATCTAAATAGGTATCGGAATGTCGCCAACTCTTGGGTCACATCTGAACCATCTCTAGAAGGAATCTGGAATAAGTATCGGAATGTCGCCAAATCTTGGGTCACATCTGAACCATCTCTAGAAGGAATCTGGAATAAGTATCAGAATGTCGCCATCTCTGGATCACATATGAACTATCTCTAGATGGGATCTGGAATAAGTATAAAAATGTCGCCATGCTTGGGTCACATCTGAACCATCTCTAGAAGGAAATC